GTAGAGAAGCTAAGACTATAGCTCTTGACATTTTTTAAAGCTTTTAATAAAGTTTGGCATGCTGATCTTCTTTATTAGATCTCTTCTCACAGTGTATCAGATAACATTTTAAAGGTTACTGAATCCTTCCTAACCAATCGTAGTATAAAAGTTGTCTTCAATAGACAACACTCTTCTTCATATCCTATAACTTCAGGAGTTCCTCAAGGTTCCTAAAAGGTTTTTTAATTTACATAACCAATCTACCAGACATTCTCACATCTAAGATTGCATTGTTTGCTAATGATACTACCACTTATTCTTCTCTTAGTAAGAAGCTAACACTCTCTGATCGCTAGGAGGGGGCTATTGAATTTGAAAAGGATCTCACTTCTGCTACAGCATGGGGCTCTAAGTGGTTGGTGAAATTTAACTCAGATAAAACTCAATTTTTTTCAGCTAATTGTTATATTATATCGCAATAATCTAGATTTTTTTTTCGATTGCAAAATTAGCATCTGCTAAAGTTGTATCTCATTATCGTGCCCGCCACTTTTTTACTCAGGGTTCTATTCTTTAATACTATAAACCTCAAATCCACTCTATGGAATACTGTTGCCATATCCGGAGCGGATCTTCAAATAATGCCCTTTTTTTTCAATGTAAGTTCACCTCCCCAAAGCTAAGTAGGCAACTACAGTTCAGAAAGCTACTTAGTTGTGGTTACAACGTGCTCTCAACTCTATAACTCCGAAGCACGAACCTTGACGAACAAGGTTTTTCTATAAATCTTTTTTGACCACTGCTCTAAAGAGCTAGCATCTCTTGTATCTTTCATACTAAAATTCGTTCTCGTGTTACTCGTCATTCAGTTGTCTCATCCTTTTTCTATGATTGTTTCTAAGTGTTCCAAGCTCCAAAAATTCTTATTCGTCTAGTTTTTTTCCTCAAACACCAGTTCTTTGGAATTTGCTTCCGTCATCTTGTTTTTCTAATTCATATAATTTGCAATATTTTTAAGTTTTATCTTACTCTATAATTTTCTTTTTTAAGTGTAAGTTCCAACTCTAAATTTTGGTTGCTTGCAGCCTTGTCGGAAGTGAAGATGTTAAATAACAAAAAATTAAAAAACAGAAGTAGAAAATCGCTCTTTTACGCGGCGATTTTCCTTAAACTTAACCCAGTGGGCACGGAAGTAAAAAAAGACGTCTTTTAAACGTTTTATACACGTTTTAGACGTTTTCTGAACGTCTTTTGAACGTTTTGGACGTATTTTTAACGTTTAAAAGACGTCTTTTTTGCTTCTGTGCCCACTTGGAATGGGCTATTTTGATTTTTTATTTAACTTAAAGCTCTATGAGGGAAAATTTTTGATCTTTTTTGTTTTGTTTATTAGTGAAGTTTAGCGTTGCGTTATTTATGGACGATCCCTATACAAAATTTATTTTCAAAAAGTTTGATGAGGAGGACTTTTTATCACTTAAAAACAAATTTCAATTTATTTTAGTGTTAAAAGTAAAAAAGATTCTTAATTACAACAACAAAAACAAAGAACCTCTTAATTTTATTCAAAAAAAAAAAAAGGCCGTCAACGTTGACGGTTGCAACTTAATTTATAGAACAACAAGTATATTACAATCAATTTGAAACGCAAAGATTAAAAAAAAAATGAGTCGAATAACGATACTGATACAATCAAATAACTGATCGTGCGGCCGTGGCGCAGTGGTTACAGCGCTTGCTTTAGAAGCAGGAGATCCAGGTTCGAAACGAGCTCTGCACATATTTTCGCGCCATGGTAAGGAAGGAGGTGTGAACTTCCTGGTTAAATGCACTTCTTCGGTGCTCTGTGACAGGACCGTTAGGTCTTCTTGGGGCATTTAAAAAACGAAAAAAAAAAAAAAAAAAAAAAGCAAAAAAAACTGAACAGATGGTCAAACTTTTTGAACCCACTATTGTTTATTTGCTTACTATTTTACTAGAAAAAAAAATTAGCTTTCAGTAACAAAATAGATAGGAAATAAATAAGCAGTCTTAAAAAATTTGCAACATTAAAAAGCATTACCAGAAATTTTCTTATTTTTTTAAACAAAATTATTATTTACAATATCAACAGAAGGCAGGAACAGAATAAAACATGTTTATTTTTATGCAGTGCTACGTTCAAATTTTAGTTTACTTAAATTGGATTTAGTTTCTGCAACTGCATTGTTTGTTGGTTAGTGATGGTTTCCTCTGAAAAGTTTTCTTGCTTTACCTTTTTTAGTTTTATCTTCCATTATTTTAATTATTATTTATCCAAATTGAAAAACAAAATTGATTAATAAATAGACATAGCAACGGAATAAACAAAACGTTGCTATAGATATAATAAAAAAGTTGCTACTACCGTTTTATTGGAAACTAATTTTGAATGGGATTAGCTTCTCTTTTTTTAAAAAATAAGCTCGAAACTCGTATAAAAATATATTTATTAAAATATTATTATTTAAAGAAAAGAACTTTTTGATTTTAATAGTGGATAATTTTAATAAAATGTTGTTTTTTTGTCGGTCAATTTTTTTGTCGGTCAATTTTTTTGTCGGTAATTAATGTTACGCATTAATTAGGACTTTACAATAAGAATAATTCAAAATTGATTAAATTAATAATTGCAAGAATTACTTTTTTAATTGATGTTTTTTGTGAAACATGCTACTAAGTGCGGCCAGGGATATTTATCAAACGGTAGATTTTGTTTAAGTTCTGTTTGATAAATACCAAAACTAAATTTTTAATATTCATAACCGGACCCGGAACCTAAAATTAATAATAATATATTTATTTTTAAAGGTAGTTTTAATTCAAACAAAACATTAAAGTGATAAAAATAATTAAAAACGGAATCCAACAACTGGATGTTTTCTCAAAAAAAATAAAAAGAAACGTTTCCAAACTTTCTGGAGGGAGACTATTTCGTTTGAGAGAATATCTCTAGTTGTAGAAAACAGCCTTTCATCATCTGTTTTTGTTGAAGGTGGTATGAGGTATTTTTTTTTGCCACATTAATCAATGCTAACTTGATTTCGGTAAAGTTTTTTCAAAACTCTATTAAAATTATTTTGTTAGAAATAAATATAACGATGGTCAAAAACAAATGTTATAATTTAATTAAGAAAAGCTATACATTTATTGTTAAGATATCTAATGGTTTCCTACACAAAAAAACCATTTGGAACAATAATTAACCGTATGCTTTTGAACAAATATTAAGCTTTACCATTCCCTGGGACATTATTTTTGCGCGAAGAAATACTTGTGTAACGTTTAAAAAAAACAACGTGACAAATCATTAAAAAAATTATTTGAAAAAAAAATTTAGTATAAAAAAAATGTCCAACTGGTATTTAAAGGAAGCGAAATTATATAAAAGTTTCAAAAATAGTAATCATATTTTGTAAATACATATTCAAAAAAATTACAAAAAAAACTGTAAAAATATTAATTTAAAAAAAAATGTTTAAAAACAATAAATTTTATCCAAATAAACCTAATGTAATATTTATATATATAAATATTTATATATAAATGAATATTACATAATGTAATAATATTTGTATACAAATGAATATATATATATATATATATATATATATATATATATATATATATATATATATATATATATATATATATATACGTTTAAAAATTTTGACGTTTAAAGATAATGTTTTTAGATTCATCATTTTTCACTTTTATTTATACCTAGCTTAACATTTATATAGACATACTTAAACAATTTTTTATTATTATCAAATCCATCAAATTTAATGACTGATTAAGTACTCATTTAAGTTGAAAAAAAAATTGTTTATAATTATAGGCTACATTTTGTTCCTTAGAAGTTTTTTAAAATCACTCCCTCCAACTTAAATGTTTTACAAAAATTCATACCAATTTTTAACTTTTTAATTTAAGTTTTTTTAATTGAAATTTTTTTTGAAAATTTTTTTGAAATTTTTTTTGATTTTAATTAAAATTTTTTAATTGAAATTTTTTAATTGAAGTTTTATTAGTTTTCTTTAAAACATCACTCCGTAATAATGTAAGATATGCAGTTTCTCACTTTAACATTGGCTCCGCCCTACCACCACCCCACCTCTTTTTATAATGTTGTAATATGCTTTATTGTTTTATCACTTTTATTTTGATACGTTATAAATAAAACTTTATTAATTTTTATACTTAGTAACTTTTTAGCTTTAGAAAGACCCTCAGACCTCTATGGGCAGAGAAAAAAATAAGATGACCCTGTGCAGTTTGAAATGTTTAATCAAACAGTAAAAAAGTTTTTTCCAATTAAAATATTTTTATCTATACTAATCATATGAAAGCAAAGTTTTTTGCTTTTATATGATTAGAGTAGATATTTATTTTAACTAGAATAGATATTTATTTTAATTAGAATAGATATTTATTTTAATATAAAAATCAATTAGTGATTGTGTGCACATGGTGCTTATCCTTACGTTTTAAGGATGAGCAAATAGCCCGTTTATTAATCTCATCTAAATTTGCTTTTATGCAGTTTGTTATGAGACAATTTCCAAAAGAGTTTTGAATGATTTTAGATTACTAAGCGAGTCTATTGTCAATACTATTTAGCTGATTTAAAAAATAATTTTTTTTTACGTGTTTTAACTGTATTATGTTATAAAACACAAAACATTTAAAAAAATGTTATTGCAACCGAGTCAATATTGCTGCAAGCTAAAAAATTATACGTCGGACAACCAATAATGAGGTGTAAAAAGTTTTTTTTTGTGAAAATCAGCATATATGTAATCGAATTGGTTTCGGAAACGAATTAAAGAATAAGGATAAACATAAGAACAAACATACGATTTGTAACAACGTTGCGACAAGGAAATGTGTTATTTTTTGCCAATGGTTTGGAACATGTTAAAGGAAGGAAATAAACAGGTGTTAAATAAATATAGGAGAAACAGACAACTCAAGTTAAAAAGAAAAAAGAAAAAAAATTTTATACAAAAGTCTCGCACGAATTTTATGAAGAATACGAAAACACTATTTCCTGAGTTTATAGAGTGTGTGAAAAGTATTACCCCCAGATCCCCTCTGGTATAAAAACAATCTAAAAGGTCATTTGAAGTTCATCAAATTCCATAAGTTTAAATTCAGCACTGAAAGGACATTTACACAAATATAGGTAAGAAACTATGAATTCTAAAAATAATAAAGATTTACTTAAAAAAATAAAAATGTTATTTTATGGTAAGTGTAGTTTTTACAGAGTAGTTTTTCAAGTTCACCAAAGAATAACTATGAAAACTTTAAATATTAGGAATGCTTACGTTTTATCTACTGTGCACCGTTTGTATACTCGTCGCCGAATCAAAACCCTTCTATGAGTATTGGCGGGTACCAAAAATACGAACAGATCCGAGATCATGTATTTGTAAGTATAGTATTTGTAAATATATTATTTGATAAGTAATAAATACGACAAAACCATTAATTATCACTACAATATTTGCATTATATCTCTTTAATAGAATATCGACTGTCGACAAGCTACCAATATTGACTATTGACAAGCAACCAATATTTATGACAAAAAAGACAGCTCTTTGGCCACAACAGTTCCTTGCTTAATTCGGCTAGCGATTAGTTGTCAACATTTTGTAACAATAAAGTAAATAGATTTGATGTCGTTAATGTTTTTCTAGCTTATAAGCTACGATATGTAGCTTTCGACATGTCGTAATGATATCGTAATGGTAAAAGCTTAATTCACCCCTCTAATGTTAAAAAATTATGAATAAAAATAGTTTTTTTGGCGAGGAAAACAAGTCTATCTAACAATAATACCAATTAAAAAGTCGTACTATAACATATTTTGTTTGTCTCCGTCCTCCCCCTCCTCCCTTAATCATTTAAATTTCCAGGCTACAACATTTATTCTACTATCTCAAAGCATTAAAGTTTTCTTTCCAAAGTTTTTTAAATACATTTAATTGTTGTTGTTTTTGTGTCGTATATTTACTATGTCATAAAATTTGTAAAAAAAAAAAAATTAAATAAGCAACTATTCTTTTTAAAAAGATGTTTAAAATCTGTTTTAAATCTAATTGATATTGGGGACTTTTAGACTTTTACTAGATAAGGAATAAAATATTTTGGCCACCTACTATTATTAAATTTTTTGATGATTTTTGATTAGTTTTGTTAGCATGGTGTTATTAATTTTAAATGTTAATAAATATGGTTACTATTAGATGACGGAGAAATAGTGAATGAAGGTTTTACGGAATACGATTATGGGAAAAAATGTGGGACAGGGATTGAGTGTTACAATGGCGAAATGAAAGCTTTCATTCGTGACGATTGTGATGAATGTAAGTAAAAGTTTAATAACTTAAAAACGAATAATTATCATAATTTTTTATAGTTATACACAAATTATTAAACACATAATTATGTAAACCATTTGTAAAACATATCTTTTCATTTAATGTCAATATAGATGGGAATCTAATAACCGAGTCACCTCCAAAAGATGTTAGAGAAAAGCATCGGCTTTAGTTAATCACTGGAACTTTTCAAGTAAAATATCGTAAAGTTACTGGTGGAATGATTCGGATAGTTGGCTTTTTTTATTTTGTATTTATTTTTTAAAGATAAATTTAAAAAACTATATTAGTGAAATTTACCTTTACATTTAAAAATAATAAATTGAAAATTTGATACGTCTATAAGAATCTTTAAAAGTTTTTTTAATACCATTTACGTTGCACTTCAGATTGAATGTTAATAAGTTCAAATTTCGTTTTAATCGATAATGCTTCTATTCGTACACTCTAAATTAAAAAGTGTTAAACTACACCAAAACGGTGTGCAGCATGAAATACACCAAAACGGTGTTAATTTACACCGTTTTGGTGTATTTCATGCTGCACACCGTTTTAGTGTTAATTTACACCGTTTTGGTGTAAATTTGAAAATATTTTGAAAAGAAATATTTTGTTTGTTTTTATATATAATTTTATTCCCAACAAATATATATATGTACAACAACTTTACAATAAATTCATCAAATTCGTTCTGCATTTGTTCTGTACACAACCATAATTTTTGTGAACCATGCAATGAATACGAGATATTTTCTTTAACTTATTTATCGAGCATTTTTATAATGTTTTCGAACAGTACCTATAGATAGTTTCATGTTTGAACATTTTAAACAAAATTTGTAGTTTGAGTTATAGTTAACGAAGATGAGATTTAAGAATTATCGAAGATAAGATAATATCTTCATTAAGTATAACTCTGATTACATATTTTTCTCGTTAAGCTCAAGCCTGTTTAGAATAAGCATAACTCTGATTTACAAATTTTAACTATAAACGTTTAGTATAACTTTGACTTACAAATTTTATCGAAAGTTTATTTAGAGTAACGAAACTCAAATATATTCATTACAAAACCACTAAAACTCATTTACAACAATTCTGAGTTAAAAATTATTAAAAATTTGAATCACATGATGTCATGGAATGTTTTAGATTTTTCAACAATTGAATCATAATTTACTTTTTGGCGACACTTTTTGAAACAGCGTAGTAAATAAAAAAAAAGTGTTATTTTACACCGTTTTTATAAAAATAAACCTTCAAAGTATATAATTACACCAAAACGATGTAAATTTACACCTTTTGCTTAAATCATTTTCAATAAACACCGTTTGAGGCTATGTTGATACCAAAAAGGTGTAATGTTACGCCTTTTCATAAAACGGTGTAAACCTGAGATTATATTTTTGTAAAACAGTGTAAAACAGCTTTACACGGTGTAATTTAACACTTTTAAATTTAGAGTGTTATTAAATCTGCGTTTAAACAAAAAAATGTCTTATTTTTGTTTAATTACAACAACCAAATGACATCTTAACAACATCATGACAGCTTTTTACAAATGTTGAATAACTTTTCATGTAAGGTTAAATAGTGCTTTTTACATTCGACTGATATAAATGGAAATAAAATCAAAAGTTAAATACTTTTTAAAAATATTTTAATCTCCATCCTCGCTTCTTTCAAATTCATTTTCGCTGTCATCCATATTTATATTTTCATTTTTTGTTGCATTTTTGCACTCCAAGCCTTACCACAGTCCGCAGGCAGTCATGCATTTTATTCCATAACGTCGACGTTGGCATTGTTTTCCACATGGTGTTTTTGTATCTGTGCTGCAGTTAAATCTTATGATGTTAAGAATGTGAATTGGTGCAGGATCCTGAATAAAAAAATACTTAAGCTTAAAAATTAATGAAAAACCTTTTTGGGTGGTTACATAATGCATTTTATTGAAAAATGAGTGTATTAAAAAATTTTCTTTACTGTTTTGAAAGTAAGATTGACATTTGTGGTTTATTTTTGCTGCTTACGTACCTTGTCTGTCTTTATAGGTAATAAGACATCATTTTTTATTTTCCATCCCCATTTTGTTTCATATATATTGACACCCAACTAAATATACTCGAAAAGAATGGTACCTGATGGCACTTTCAGTTTGTGGTAGTTGTTTTGGTTTAATTCCTTTTTTGGAAGTTGCAACCATTTTCATATATTTTTGTTTCCTTAGTTGTGCCAGATGGACTTCTTTATTTTTTTCACCTATAAAAAAAGTTGAGTTAAATCAAACCAAATTAAATCGAAACAAAATAACATTATATTATAATTATATTAACAATATTAATAATAAAAATAAGGGACTATGATCAGAGTCTTGCACACCTTACATATTCAAAACCACTTGCATTCAAATACTAACTACCTGATCTTGTGTTGCGAAAGGATCTTGGAAGACTTTATATATATTTTAAACAAACTCACAATTTGATTCAACAAACTTTAGTACAGCTATTTTCCCTTGACCAAAAAGCGCAGAGGTAGTATCACATTCACCCCAAGTATGAATAAACAACAAACAACACGTTTTTCACGTGGTGTAATATACTTGATTAGACGTTCGTTTTTTTTATTTGTTTTTTCTCTCTCTTTGCCTTTTGAGTTTATATTTGCTCTTTTTCTAAAAAAAAATTAAAAAAAAATAAAAAATTATTCTTTTAAAGTTAAAAAAGAATAATTTTATTTTATAAAAAATCTTACTTTTTTTACTTCTAAATGTACATTTTGTTCCGACGTTCCGTTTTCTGTAACTTCTATTGAAATTTCATTTTACGTTTTTTCGTCTAAAACTTTCATAAATTCATCGACGGTCAAGTCAATCTGCGTAAATTCTAAATCTTGTTCATCGTCAATGACGATTGTTTCAGGAACAATTTTTTTTGCTTCCATATTTTTTCTAGATACAACTTTTGTGATTGCCATTTGATTTTTGATATAAAAAAATGCAGCTTTTATACAAAAATATTTAATCTCTACAAATTAAGTAAAATAAAAGAATTTTGTGACAAAAAAGTTATATTGAGAAACTTTTAATCTTGCTTTTTACGTGGGATTATATAGGGAATTTTTTTTATTAAAAAATGTGCGTAAACAACTTTTAAAAAAACTGTATAGAAAAAAAATCTCTGCGTAAAGTGTTAAAATGACAATTTAAATAAATTCAAAACACGCTTAAACGACACGTCGACGTAGCCTAGTGCATCGTATCATTTCCGCACTAAGTTTTAAACCGCCATGAACCGATCGTCTAGGGTTCGAATCTCTCTATAACTTTACGGCTTTAACATTATATGTATAAACACATTGAGCGAACGCTTGATGACGTCTGTCTAGTTAGCTTAGTTAGTTATATGTTACCTATTGAGTACTTAAATCTACTCAACGGTTTACTTTATATAATTTGAACACTACTATGTGAGTTTCAATAATATATTAGTAAGAAGAGTTGTAAGTTAGTAAGGTCAATATACAACTAGCATGAGAGCATGGCTTAAGACGCAATGCACTGCGGGAAATAGTTACAACCAATAGATTATTCGCGGGAAGCCAAATAGGCTTCAACACTTCCGGCCACCATTTACAAGTAAAGGAATATTCTTCTCGTTTATAAAGGCAACAGTTACTATTTTTTCATTGTCTGAATATTCAGTAGGATATAGTTTATTAATGGGTCGAGTAATTAAACACGAACTACCATTCTCTTGTTTGTAACAAACTTTAGCAACGCGAACAACTCCGTCGTTTGAATATAACAATTCTTCAACACGTGCTAATTTCCATAATTGTCTTTTACAGTTATCACTTTCAATTAATACAATGTCGTTAACATGAATACCATTACACCCATTACTCCGTTTCGATTTATGATGTCAAGTACTCACTTTTGAATCTACTTCTAAAATGATTCAATGTATTAGATAACATACTGTTTCATATATGCACATCTTGTTCTATATCGTTACAAGCACTTGATTCAAGCTTAAGCTTATGTCCAAAAACTAAGTGATTAGGTGTGAGTGCTTCATCACCTTGATTGTTATACAAATAAGTTAATGGTCTGTTATTTAGTACCATTTCAATTTCAGAAAGCAACGTTCGTACTTCTTCATAAGAAGATCTCGAATTCTTTAACGCTTTCTTCAAACATCTTTTAGTCATTCGTACTAGTCGCTCAAACATCCCTCCCCACCACGGTGCCGAAGGCGCATTAAACTTCCATTTTATAGAATGGTTTGCAGCAAAGTACTGAGTTTCAGTTGAAACAAATTGTGAACCATTGTCTGAATAAATAATTTCTGGAACACCTCGTCTTCCAATAAATCTATGGATATCCATAATGCATGATCTAGATAAACAGTCAGCTACTAAGTCTAATAAAATTGAACGACTACTGCAACATGTAAATAAGAAAATCCATGCTTTATTCAACGTACAACCGCCATAAATATCTTTAATATACAGCGGACCAGCATAATCCAAAGCAATACATTTAAAAGCGAAATCAGAATTTAAACGACTTTCAGGCAAAGGAGGAGCAGGTGGGTATGAATAAGGCCTACACTCTATACGTCGACAAGTTGTACATTTTCGTATCACGCTCTTTGCTAATTGCCTACAACAAGGTATCCAATACTGGGATCTTAAAGCATTAATTGTTTCTTTCACACCATTGTGCTTGACAAGCTTATGAAAATGTAAAATTAACAATTTAGCAAAATAACAGTTATTGAAAATAAAAATAGGAAATTTTGTATCATATTCTAAATCAGCATGTTCAATTCTGCCACGACATCGATATATACCATCGCTAACAAATAAACGTAAATCTTTTCGTAATTGTTTAAATTTATTCTCATCGATTAGATTTATCTGTGAAAATTTAATCCACAACCGCTTTGCATTATCTATTTCTTCAGCTGTAATTAAACCAGTCTTGAAGATGTTCTTCTTTTTATCTTTCGCATTATTGATAAACCGAAGAATCCACGATTTTACTTGAAGTAAATACCTAAAATCACTAAATTTATCAACATTAATAAAGTCAAGAATAACATTAACCTTAACATGTACCACATTACACGAAACTTCAAGTGTTTCATTTGAATGATTAACATGTTCATAATATGGCCATTTAATATTAATATCATTTAAAAAATTGGGTCCATAAAACCAAAGTTCATTATTATTTAATTTCTTAAGCGAAGATCCTTGTGATATTATATCTGCAGGATTCCTAAAGGATTCAATATAGTTCCAATTACAAATTAAAGTCAATTCTCTTATTTTATTTAAACGATTTTGTACAAACTGTTCGTAGGTGTTATTAGTATTAAAAATCCAATGCAAACAAATTGTTGAATCAGTCCAATATACTATATTTGAAATGTTATAAATAGATATCAATTGATCGTAAATAGATGCTAATAGCTTTGCTAAAAGTAAAGTTGCAGAAAGCTCTAATCGAGGCATTGTGTTCTTGCCTAATGAGGCAACCCTAGACTTCGAGGCTATCAAAGAGGCACGACTAAAATTAGCATTAAAAAATTTAAGATAAACACAACACCCAAACGACTTAACACTTGCATCAGAAAAACCATGTAATTCAAATTTTACATTATTTATATCACCCAATCCAGGACTCATTTACCATCGAGGTACTGCTATTTGAAAAACAGATTTGAAATCACTTAAAATAAGATTCCAATTATAGAATAAATCACCATACAAACTTTCATTCCAACCTAACTTAGAAACACAAATCTTTTGAAATAAATTTTTACAAGTTACAACTACTGGGTTAATAAGACCTATTGGGACATAAATACTGGCAATAAAACTCATCACTTCTCTCTTTGTTGGAACTATTGAGGCTACATTTAATAAATCCTCAAATGAATAAATTATTGAATCTTCTGTCTTATTCCATTTGAGGCCTAACACTCTTGTATTCGTTTGTCTCTCATAATTGTCACTGTTAATTTGTTTCTCAAAAGCTGAAGAATTAGACTCAAACTTTCTTAAGTTAAAACCTCCTTCTTTTAATATGTCTTTACATTTATTAAAAAACAAAACACCTTCTTCAATGGTAACACAGCTAGAAATCAAATCGCCTATATGCAAGGATTGCAACAACTTTGAGGAGATATTATTATCATTAAGGCAATATCTCTCAGCATGATAAATTAATGTGGCATTGAGGAGAAATGGAGACGAAGTAACACCAAAAGGCACTCTACATATACGATATGTAGCCAATGCAGATGAAAACAAATTACTATTCTTAATATTATAAACATCATCAAACCATATTAGACGCAAATAATTTCTGTCATTTTTATCAAGGGCAATATGCAAAAATGCTTTCTCTATGTCTGCAATAAAGGCATATTTATTAGCACAAAAACGTAATAATATAAAAAATAGAGGTGTAGCTAAACTTGGTCCAGCATTTATACAATCATTTAATGATGGACCCTATAGTGTGGAACTTGCGTCAAAAACAATTCTCACTTTTGTTGTAGTTTTATCTTTACGACATACTGGGTGATGTGGCAAGTAATGCACCTCACCAATACTCGAATCATAATTATTTACCTTCTCTATTACCCCTGAATTTAATTGCTCTATAATTATCTTATTGTATTCATTTAATAGCTCAGAATCATTTTTTAATTTATTAAGAATTACATTCAGACGTTTTATACATAAACTAAAGTTATCACTCAATAATGCATGGTTATTTTTAAATGGTAATTTAACTGTATATCTACACTCTTTATTATCAAATTAAATATAACTTTTAAAATGATCAAAAATATTATCTTCCACTCCTGAATTCTCTAGTTCCCAAAACTCTTTAATATTCTCATTAAATTGGGAAATTTCATTAATGAATTCCGTCTCAACTTTTAAAGTATGTGTGGAAAAGACACAGCAATCTTTTCCAGATGATGCATTAACATTTCCGCTTAATATATAACCAACTGATGATTGTAAAGCAACAGGACCTGTATTGGCGCGAATTACCTTGCCATTAAAAAATGACCAATAATAATCCGCTCCAATAAGTACATCTACTTCCAATGATTTGCAATCTACATTACTATCAGGTAAATTGATTCCTTTTAAATGTTCAAAGGAATCGACAGCCTCCTCTATATACTGACCACTAAGAGGAGCACATATGGGCTTAACAAAACAAGTTATAGGTATTAAAGAATTCTTTAAAGTCAGTATAGAAAGTTTATCTCTATCTCTAAGTTCTGGGTTTGGCTCTGATTGCCAAAAGTTTTAATATTTAATTGCTTTCTACCTAATGTGGGTAGAAAGAGCTTCTTTTGTAATGATGGGGAAATATAACTTAGCTGAGAACAACTGTCAAATAAAAGGCGACATCTTAGTGTCTTATCTTTATTCTTTACTGTAACCATAGCAGTTTGTAACAATACATTCTTAGATTTCAATGCTTCTGTAGTAGCAACAGACGTTAACTTATTGTTTGATTCTTTACTATCATCAATATGCAAAGGAAACTTTTTAAAACACATAGAAACACGATGCTTCCCTGAGCACTCATAACAGCTTATGAGTGAATGACAATCTTTAGACATATGACCTGACTTCAGGCAATTAAAGCAACGCCTTTTATCTCTTAAAATATTTCTCCTTAATTTTATATTTGTTACAGTTTTACAACTTTCACTTTTATGACTTTTACTACAAAAAATGCATTTTAATTCATATTGTGGCTTAAAGGAAGCACTAGAATGTAATACTTCTGCTGTCGAAGGATCAAAATTACACTCTCTATCTGAGTAAGCTTTTTCCCTAGCTTGCAATTCAGCTTTTAAAGATTTTAAAACATATTTTATATCCCAATAATCACAGGAATTGAAGTTTCTAGCAATAATCAAATTTAACTCCTATGGAATTTTTTGCATTATAATAGGAATCAATAAAGGTCCATACATAGTTGAATCTATACCTAAGTTTTCTAAACTTCTAATTTGAACTTCGATATTATCATGAATACGTCTTAATAAAGAAATGTTGTTAATACTTTGCACTCTCTCTAGAGATAGAAGTGACTTCATGTGTCGAAATTAACAGTTGTTTATCATTAAATCTTTCCTTAAGTAATTCCAATGATGTATGATAGTTGTCATTTGTTAATGCTAAGCCTAAAATTGTTTTTAAAGCTTTCCCGTCAAGTAAATTTCTTAGATAGTTAAGCTTTTGTATTGGGGAAAGATCATTATTATTATGGATGACACATTCAAAATTTTCATAAAAGGTCTGCCATTCCTCTGGCTTTCCACTAAAGGTACTTAATTTTAAAGGTGGAAGTTTAATGTTATTATTTGAAAAACTTTTTAAACTGCTAGATTGCGACTCGTTAATACTTTCATAAATATTATTATTAAATTTTTCAATTATTTTTAAGTTCTTTTTGAAAAATAAAGAAAACTCATTAGCTAAAGTTTCATCATTTAACAATTCCTCATCATCTTCAATTAAATTGATCAAATCATCATCAATTGCTTTAACTTTA